ATCTCATTTTTTGACTTGCGGTGCCATTTTGGTTGTTCTTTATTTTTTAACTTATGGAGTTACCCCAGTCGTTTTCTTATATTTTAACTTATAATGTCATCTCGATCATTTTTTATTTTTTGACTTGTGATGTTATCTCAATCATTCTTTATTTTTTACTTGTGATGTTATCTCGATCATTTCTTATTTTTTGACTTGCAGTATCATCCCAGTTGTTCTTTATTTTCTAACTTATGGTATCATCTTGGTTATTTTCTTATTTTTCAACTTGCAATGTCGTCCTAGTCGTTCTTTATTTTTTGACTTACAGTGTTTTCTCAATCATTTTCTAATTTTTCAACTTGCAATGTTGTCTCGGTCGTTCTTTATTTCTAACTTATGATGTTGTCCAAGTCGTTTTCTTATTTTTTTTGACTTACAATGTTATCCCAATCATTTTTTTTATTTTTTTGACTTACGATATTATCCCAATCATTTTTTTATTTTTTGATTTACAATGTCATCCCAGTCATCCTTTATTTTTTGACTTGTGGTGTTGTCTTGACTATTTTTTATTTTTTAACTTGCGGTATTATTTCGATCATTTTTTATTTTCTGACTTATAGTGTCATCCCAATCGTTCTTTATTTTTTGACTTACGATGTCATCCCAGTCATTTTCTTATTTTTTGACTTACGATGTCACCCTGGTTGTTTTTTATTTTTTGACTTACGGTGTTGTCCTAGTCTTTTTCTTATTTTTTGAATTAAGGTGTCGTCCTAATCGTTCTTTATTTTTTTACTTATGGTGTCGTCCTAATCATTCTTTATTTTTTGACCTATGATGTAGTCAAAAATAAAAAAAAGGAACAAAGGTTTTTCTCTTACTCGGAAGTATCATCCGGATAAATTTGTCATCTATGTTTTTGCATTATTTCTAATTCTCAAAAATATGCAAAGAGGGGCAGCTATAGATACTGAATTTTATTCGAAACATTTTTCAACATGATTGACTTGGGGTTCATTTGTGAGTATGGGCTAAGACCATTTAAGATGATCATTTACAACCCATAAGGAGCTCATAAACTAGCCCATTTTGAAACCCAAAATCAACTCGGATCAAATCCAATCAAACAAAATCAAAATTACACATAACTTAGTCAAAATGGAGAGAGCCCAGGTTAATTCTCAAAATTCAAAACCTAAGTGGAATCAATGTGATTTTAGATTAAATTTGTTGATTTTTTAAAACACTAATTTTTTTTTGTACCGAAAAAAGTGTGAAATTATTGAAATACCCCTTATAAGATTTTTTGTGATTTAATTCTTTTGAGCTTAGATTTTAATGGAACTTTTCATATCTTAATTTCATAATATTTCATAATTTTGGTGCATTTGAAATTATAGCAGTACTCCAAAAATGTGAAATTACTAAAATACCTTTTAAGGGTATTTTCGTAAAAGGTATTTTAGTAATTTGACATTGTCAAGCTCGAACTTTCATGAAACTTTTCAGATCTCAATTTTGTAATATTTCATGATTTTTGATGTTTAAAATCCTAAAAATGAGCATGGGAACATTGATTTTTAAGAAAATGGTCTAAATACCAAAAACTTTGTATTATGGGTAAAATGATCTTTTCATAGGTTTAAAGGTAATAAAAATCCAACATTTGCAGTGAATAATGTGGACTATTAGATCTTCTTTGAATTTTGATCCATTGGTTAAAGTTTATTCTTTGAAAGAAAGGAAAGGAATAAACTTTGGCCATTGGATGCTACTTAATCCAAAAGCCTATATTCTATACAAAAAAGGGTTCTGCTGAAGAGAAAAAAAAATGGTTGAACTAAAAAAAAAGGTTTCTAGTAAAAAAAAAAAAAGAGAGAGCTAAACACAAAAGAAAAAAAGAATGAAGAAAAGCTAAGTAAAAGAAAAAATTTTTAAAAGAAAGTTTTGGGAAATGTGAAAGCTTTTGATGAAAATAAAAATAAAAAAACCAACTTCCAAAAAAGTTCAAAAAAGAAAAGGTAAGATAGCCTATGACCATGGTCACATAAGGGTATATGTTTGCCATTCTATATCATTGGTTGTTACACCATTCTGCATCTACCATTATATATTCTGCAAAGTATTCATAGTTGTTCCTTGCATGCTTTGACTTTGGCATGTACGTTGATGAAGTTAGGAGCTTTATGTTTTCCATGTTTTTGTTTTTTTACAAAACAATTGTCAATGAAAAAAAGCCTCATCTCCTTTTACATTTACTGGAACCACCGAATAGCTTCTAATTTTTTTAGTGGTAATAGTTATTGGGCTCACTCCATAAAGCCTTCCACCATTGCTTTTCTACTTCAAAGTCTTTGTTTTTCCATCTTTCATGACTAGCTTTTAGTTAGCCTAAGCTAAAACAAATAAAAGACTTGGAAATCAACTTGGAATAACCAAACCGTATTGCTTAACTTCCCATGAGTAGTTACAATTTGGATGTCATTTCACACAACCCCACTCATTTGACGTAGAAAGAAGATTTTTAACAGAAAATGGTTTCCAAAGTAGGGAGGATAAGTGTTCTGTAAGGGAAAAAAAGGTTTAAAGTTTAGGTTTTTTCTCTTCTAGCTCTTTGTTTCACGTGAGGGGTCTTGCAGAAGCCATAAAGCTTCAACTTTCTTTTTTTTTTCTAGTTTCTTTCTTCTGCATAGGGTTTATTTTGGTTTATTCTGGTCAGTGATTATATAAAGGATGGGAAGAACCGAAAATAAGCCATTTGTAGGGAAAGTTTCACATACACTGAAAAGTATTCCATTAGCATTGTTTGCTTAACTTTCTTGCATGATTTTGCCTATTCAATCAGTGTATGAATTGTTTATAGATGTAAGGAAATATCGCATGTACTATAATGTCCCACCATTATCTTATTTGCTTATCATTCTTGGTGTAGAGAAAGTTTCACATGCATTGCATAGTTTTCCTTGGCATGATGTTTACTGCATGTTCTAAAAATATAATAATAGAAATAATAATATACTAAGGTGGATAATAAAATACTAATAAAATTTAATTAGGGTATAAGAATATTTAAGCATCCTTTTGCATAACTATTTTTAGCATTATAATCATGTCTATTTTTGGATTATGTTAGGATTTGAATGTCTAATCCCTTTGTGCATGTATTAACCTTTAAATTGATATGCTTATGTTCTTTGAATATATTTTATATATTTTAGTTGTTATTTGCACTTTGAAAATTTTTACTAATAATAATAATATATTTTTATGCTAAAAATATATATAATTAGTTATATAAAATTTTAATTATTTTAAGAACAATTATAACAACAAGTTTGCTCTGAAAGTCTGTTTAAATGTTGAAGATTTTTGGAGAAGTTCATAAAGTTAAAAAAAAAAAACCCTAAACTTGTTTTTTTTTTTTTAATTTATAAGGTTTTGTGTGAAAACTTTTTATGAAGCAATTGGTTCCCGAATGCTACCTAGATGTTTGGGAATTTAGGAAATTTATTTTTTTAAGAATTTCCATACATTTTCATAGTTCAAAAAATAAATTCTTTTTGTTAAAACCATAATTATGAAAAATACAAAATAACAAGAATAATAGGACAGATTTTTAAATATAAAAATCTACACCTAAATTCTGCCTAGATATTAGAGAGTCCAGATGATTTTTTTATATTTGAAAACCCGATTCTTAAATTTACACTTAATCATTTTGCATATATTTCGTTTTAAAATTAATGTCCTCATTTATAGTGCATCTATATATATATATATATATATATATATATGCTCTAGTTAAAGTTGTTTAATATTAATTATATTATATTTCATTTTTTTACCCTAAAAATTTTCTTAAAATTTTAGTTTTGAGTAAATAAAATTAAAATAGTATTCTGTGAAATATAATTGATTGGTATTCTACCTAAATTTTGGAGAGTCATCAATAATTATCATTTACAAAGAATATTATTTTATTAATTTTAGAAGGAATATTATGATAAATCTTAAATGAAAAACTATCTTTGAATTCTACATTTATGTCGGAGGGTTTGAAAATATTTCTTTAATTTGAAAATTTTCTTAATATTCCTAAATAAAATTTTTTTAACTAATATAAATAAACAAAATTATAATTAAATTTCATATAGAAAATCATTTTTATCCAAAATTACAAATAACTTATAATTAATTTGTATCAATTTTGTGTGCGTTGTAAAGATACTAATTTTTTTCCACACATAATCGACTATCGAACTTATTTTTATTTTCATATACCAAAACTATCTTTTTAATAAAGCTCCAAAACCCATTTTATTAAAAAAATAAATTTTAGATAATCAATTACACCCTAAAAAAGATTTGTGATGATTTTTTATTTTTTTCATGATTTTTAAAATATTTTACATATAAAAATTGAATCTTCGAAGTGATATATTATGACATGCATCAGTCACAACCAGTCACAACCATTTAGCCTGATATTCATGCGCAGATGATCGATCATCCTTGAGTAAGATGCAGCCCATTTTGCCGTCTGCTTAGTGGAACTCATTCTGGGCTCATAAACCCCGAAACGTAGCCATGAAATGAGACTCAGCCCAAAGACAGTGTTACTGTATTTCAAGTAATACCATTTTATAATAGTTCTAAATTACCAATTATTAAACAAACTGTAAACGAAGCAGAAGATGAATCAAAGCTAGGTGATATAATGAAGCACAAAGGAGAAGGGGATCAGGGACGTAAATGCATTCTAAGTGAGCCACCTAGGTTTGTTTTTATCATTATCAATTTATCATATAAACAGAATACCTGGAAGCCTAAGCTACTTGTTTGGCCCATTAAATTGGAGCAGGACCCGGTTGTGTTGAAGTAAGTAAAGTCTGGAACTAGGCCCAGGATAGGGATGAGCCACTTGAAACGACGAGCATGATCCACAAACATGTGGTTTATGTGGCACCATAGCTTGCAGCTTGCAACGTTGCTTATCTACTTGCTGTTGTCGTCGCTGTAGCTTTGGTCATCGCCATAATATCGGATGGAAAACACGCGCCAACAGTCTCACAACCATACCGACTATCCTTTCTCATGGCTTCCTCAACTCTCTACCCTTCAGCTCCTTCGCAGGTATATCCCACCACTTGTTGGTGGTTAAATTACTTTGTTTCGAAACTTTTAATTGAATTTTTTAGTGTTTTTTTTTTAACAGCTATGCTCCAGCAAGAGTAGCATGTTCTGCCCATCACAGTCTTTTCTTGTGAAACCAAAAAGGACCCAGATGATTATAAAGGAGACCCACAAGGGAATGAGACTCACTTGTCAGGCCACTAGCATCCGTGCAGATAGAGTGCCAGACATGGGCAAGAGGCAGCTCATGAATGTGCTTCTGTTGGGGGCTGTTTCACTCCCTACGGGTTTCATGTTGGTTCCTTATGCCGCCTTCTTTGTCCCATCTGGGTAAGTTCTCCTTTCCTCCTTCCTTGTTCAGTTCCTAATGAGGGTGGTAATTAATGCTTTTGATGATTCAACTGATTCTTATAGTTGACTGATTGAATTATTGTAGGAAATTTTACTTACTAGTCCAACATACTATTCGTTTATAAATTTTAAAATCATAAATCACCTTAAGTACCCTTGAAAATACAGTAATTCAAGGTAGGATATGAGCACAAGCAGAAACTTGGTTTCTCCCATACTAGTTAACCAAGTTTTTTTCACCAAATTGACCTCCCATACCGGTTATGGCCACCCCCAGTTTATGTGAATCAAATTTCCCGTTATAGCTAGCTCCGTTATTTTTATGGTAAATTTAGAATTGACATTTGCTTTCATCATTTATGAGCATATTCTGAAACCTTGTAGAACTTAGCCATTCAACTTATTGGTATCAAATATAAAATTAAAAATCTTGCTACTGTTTTTTCCCTAAATAAATGGTCGATAAATTATCATCGAGAAGATTGATCTTTACTCTTTGTGAGATCTCATTGTCTCTATTTATATTAAACCTTCATTAAAATGCAATAACAGGGGACGAGGTGCTGGTGGTGGCACCATTGCCAAGGATGCAATTGGAAATGATGTAATTGCTGCTGAATGGCTTAAGACTCATGGCCCTAGGGACCGAACCCTGACTCAAGGACTGAAGGTAATTATAGGAGCATTCAACATGAAAACTTCATTTCGTGGGAAGGAAGGAGAGAGGAAAGGAAAGAAGAAGTTTTAATTTAATGATTGGGCGACAGAATAACACATGTTGCATGAATTTCAACCTAGATTAAAAACTTTTCCATCCTCCCCACCTAACATGCATGTTTGGTGGTGATGGTGACTTTTGAAGATGACTTATGCATGCAATTGCTTGAACTCAATATTCTTTTTTGTTAACTGTGAAGGTTTTCCACCCATTGATAATGCTTGGCATTATAAAACATTAATAAGAGTACTTAGTGCATTATGAATGCTGATTCTGTAGCCAATGTCATATTCTAAGTTTTTTAAGAGATGTATGATTCTCTTACAGAAGAAGCTTTTTAGAATGCAAAGGCGAAATTAGATTTTAGCGTTTCTTTTTTTTTATTATTAAAAAAGCATCAATTATGGAACATTATAATATCAGGATTCAGGATGTTGAAAGACATTTTGGTTATTTATGAATTGCAGGTAGACCCAACCTACCTAGTGGTCGAGAAAGACAGAACTCTTGCAACATATGGTATAAATGCTGTCTGCACACACCTTGGATGTGTTGTTCCATGGAATCAAGCAGAGAAAAAGTTCATTTGCCCCAGCCATGGATCTCAGTACAACGACCAAGGAAGAGTTGTGAGAGGACCTGCCCCCCTGGTGAGTGGGATTAAGAGCAAAAAATATACATTTCGTTATTTCTTTCCTCAACTTTAGGAAATTTCAGTCATGGAATGAATGACTTGGAAATATCATGTACCGGCTCTGTGATGTTTTTCTTTATTAAAGATTCACAGAATATGTTTTTCTTTAGCGCACCTTCATGCTTGCACAGAACTCATTGGCAAAGAAACACAAATGTGCATTTAGTATAGTAGTCAAAAGTTTCCGCATCTTTTTTTTTTTTTTTTTGTTCTCAAATTATGTTGTCTGTTATTTATTTCTAGTTTTCATCTCATTCATTCTTTATAATGAGTTAATGACCAACTGTATCGTCTTTGTTAGAACAGTCCTTGGCGTTGGTTCATGCTGATGTAGATGACGGGAAGGTAGTCTTTGTTCCATGGGTCGAAACAGATTTCAGAACTGGTGAGGCTCCATGGTGGGCATAAACGTCTTCACAATTCATTGGCGGTTCGGATATTTAAGATTTATTTATATTCAGCCAGTATGTTTAGCAACGTTTTTAAACATCGTGTACCATAGAGCTATCCTCTGTATAATGCTGTTTGTAAGATGCAAGAACATAATTAATTACAAAATTAAACATGGCACTAATTTTTTTGTGATATTCAAAATTTTCTTATGTATCTATTCATGAAGGTGTGAAGGTGTGGTCACTGTTCTAACTTAAATGCTTCACAATCAGATTACAGAATTGAAATGGTACGAGAAATATTGAAATAACATGGAATGTAAAGGGAAGTATTTATTTTTGGAATAAAAGAGGTCGCAGGTTATGGATAGAAAAAAATATTATAAATGTTGTGATTTAAATTTTAAATATGACATAATTGTATGAATGAATTAAACCACTCAAAGTTATAATCCAACGTGTCACTCAAAGTTGTACTTTAGACGGCAATCAATTGTTGATTTTAAATAATTTTTGTTCAGATCAATAATTGCTTGCACTCGTGATTGCTAGTTCTCTACAATGTTCTCATAATGGACACTTTCCGGATTTCAATGGTTAAATTAGTTAAACTGTTGAAATGTCTCTTCTATTTTGTCCCTCAACCGTCAGTCATTAACCTATTTTTGTCTGATGTACAAGACACAAGTCTAAAACAGATCTCAGTGCATGTAATTTTGCGTTCCATTAAAAATTTTTTTTTTTTTTCAGACAGCACTCAAGCATTAAAATTATGTAATCATGTATGTTCTTGATCACTTTTTCTACCATTTTCTTTTTCTAGATAAGTAGCTACTTGGTAAAATAAAACTTTTGAAAAATTAAGGGATTGTTTGTTTTTGTTTTCTGTTTTCGTTTTTAATTTTTTTTTTTTTAAATTGAAAGTAAAAGTTTGATAGGTTGTTTATGTTTTCTGTTTTTGAAAACTGAAAATAAAGTTTTGAAAAATTTTGAAAATTGTTGAAAACATAAAAGTAGTATTTTCAGTTTTTTGAAAATAATTTGATTCTGTTATCGCATGGGCATTATTCACAGCTTCACACTGCTACAGTGATGTTATAATTATTATATTAATAAAATAATATTTTTATTATATAAATATCATATTAATAAATATTATTATATTTATTATATAAATAATATTATATTAATTAATAATGTATTATATTATTATATTATATTAATAAATTATATTATAATATATTAAAATAATATATTAATAAATAAAATATTATTATATTAATATTATTATATTGTTAATAACAAATGAAGCCTATAAACTTTAACTACTTTCTCTTACGTATTTTTGTTTTCACATTTCTAAAACAAAAATATTCTATTCAAACATGTTTTTAAATTAAAAAATAATACAAAATAAAATTTTCAAAAAACATAAAATATAAAACACAAAATAATACTAATCGACCCCTAAATGATCAAACTAATAATTTACCTTTTTAAAACATCCATATTTTTAAAAGATTATACTACTTTTTGTCAATAATATCACATGAGACGTAACATTATATAAAAATATCACGCAACAAATATAAGACAACAAGAAAATCACATCAATTATATGTTAATTTTAAACGATTGAGTAACCAAAAAATTAAATTTTAAAATAATTAATAATTAAATCATGATTTTTATGATTGAAAGATCAAAATAAAAGAATCATAAAAACGTTAGTGATTAAACGTGTAAACATCCATTTGCTAATGATACTTCTTATTTAAATGACCCTAAAACTATAAAAGCACCACTGGGGTCTGGTTGATTTAACTCAAAATTGGATGAGCATTGAGTAAGTTATATACTCTTTTGCTTATAGGCATTTTGTAATTAAGGTAATAATTTTATTCGTTTCTTTAAACTAATTAATTTTATGCACTCTCTAATCCCATCCTTCTAATAAGATTTGAAAATCTCCTATTGAAAAGTCCAAACTCCATCAATAAGATTTACTACTATCTTTCCGTTTTTATTTTTCTTGATTAATGGTTTTTTTTATGAGTTCTTGAGTACCGGAAAAGAAAGCTTTAAGCAAGTTAGGTGTAGCATGTGATTTGGGCCGCAGAAAATTTCCATACTCATTAACAGTTAGTCGCCTCATATGATTAAGTGATTTGTAATAAGTATTATAATTAGATTATGCCAATGAAGCTTTAGTTTAATGATAAAAGGAGGTCTTAAAATTTTAAAGTCTTATATTTAAATTTTAATGTATGTGGGTTTAGTTGTTTAATTATGTTTTAATTTATTAATTAATTATTTAATTATTGTAATTTAATTATGATTTATTAATTAATTACTTAATTAATTTTATAAATATAATATTTTATTATAATTATAACAATTTCAAATATATATTATAATCAGATTTGACACCGGCATGCGATGGAGATGGTAATATAATTGATTTTTTTGAAGAATTCATATTTATAGTAAAAAAAGTAATGTCATAATTAATTTAAAATAAATAATTAAAATCTATTAATAACTGTAATATAATTATTAATCTATATAAAAATAGAATCAGGCATTTTTCGTTTTAAAAAATTATATAATTTGTGTATAATCTTCAAACAAAATTTTAGCTTTAATAATTTGATTTCCTTTGGGTATAAGTTGTGTATAATCTATATAAGCACAACGCATGCATCAACACGTCAATGTTCAATCAATCCTGCCTTAAACCACCTTAATGAACTCTTCATTTAATTTTTTCACAAAAATTTCTTGCCTTAATTAAGATTTTTACCACATAATTAATAGTCCAACTTGACTCTAAAATATTAGAAAAATCCCCTTTTTGCTTGGGCCTTTTTTTTTTTTTTTTTCTGTTCATATATTGTTTTGGAAGAAATAATATTGTATTACAAATAGCTACCCCGCTTCGTTCGATTGATTTTTTTTATTAAAAATTATTATTATTATTATTATTATTATTATTATTATAAATACATTTATAATTATTTTAATATAAAAATAATAGATAATAAAATAAATAAAAATATTCTAAAAATATTAAAATTATTGTATAGATAATATTTCATATATTACTATTATAGTTTTATTTTTATTTTTATACTATATTTTGAGCATATTGTAATTTTTAAACTTTTTTATAAAAATATTTAAAACAAAATAAAAATAATTTATCTTTTTGTTATGTATTTTTACATTTATATTTATCATATTATTTTTTTTATTATAGTAATTTAATATATAGTTAAGTTTTATATAATTAATTTAATATGAATATTGTAGTAACTTTCATAAATGATCACGTGTTTTTTTTAAAGTTATAATAAGAGTATTTTAGTAATTTAATAGGTGATTAATTTTATATTATTTAATTATAAAGCAATTAAAAAAGTATTTTCATATTTATAATAATAAGGATATTAAAATAATTTTGGAGCGGAGCATTTCCACTCCAACTTCTTTTCTTTACATCTTACTACTATTAACACCCAATTTTTTGTTTAACACACCCCGAACCCAAAACATAAATTTACTAAAAACCTAAACATCCCATCCCCTCACACTCCATCTTCTTCAACCAAAAACCCTAAAATCCTTAAATAATTAAGCCCCAAATCAAGCCTAAATTGCCCATTTGACATTAGATAACTTAGAATCATAAGTAAATCATTTATTTTTTATTTTTTTATTTGATTTTGTGTTTAGTTTCATAAGATTTAGAATTTTAAGTTTTATGGTGCAATTTGGGGTGTGGTTCAAACATTTTGAAAATAAATTTTTGAAAGTTATTGAAGATTTTCAAAAATTGATATTCAAAATCGTTGAAGAACTTCCAAAATTTCATTTTTAGAATCCTTTTAAGGCTTTCGAATATCCATTTTCGAAAACCTTTAAGAAATTTTGGAAGTGTATTTTTAAAATTTTTTAATAGTTTTCAGACATTCATTTTCGAAAGCCTCTAAAAACTTTTAAAAATGGATTTTCGATATCTAATAACTTGGCACTGTAAGGAATATTGATCCTGACAATGTCAGTAGCAAATTGGCAAATCTGGCAATAGGAACATCTAATCTTTCAGCCACCAAACATTATTCGTTTAATAACATTTGTAACATTTTTACAATTTTGACAAACATGCATATGAAAGAAATCACTAAGTTTGAAGAGATATTCATGCAAGTTGGTTGCTACACCTTGTACAATGGAGTGTAATTGTCTCATCGCACATAGTGTAGTAGGTAATTGTACGATCGCCTCTTCATAATTGTCGATTCCTCTCAAATCTACATTTGTTAAAATTAAAAAAATGTTGCAAATATTATTAAATGGATAATACGGCCAAAAAATTAAAAGTTTCTACTGATAGATTTAAATAGCTCATATCTCAAAAAAATTATTAAAGACCTTTTTGGAGATCATAATAAGGGGCATTTGATATTCCTATGCTAAACACTAATTAAGAGATTGCAACAAAGAAATTGAGGTAAAAACTTACTTTCGAAAATAAATTTTCGGATAATTGTAAAGCTTTTTGAAAATGCATTTTTAGATAATTGTAATGCATTTTTCGATATAGTGAAGAAGTTTCTGAAAATAAATTTTTGGTACAATGAAAAAGTTTTCAAAAATAAATTTTCGGTAACTTACTAAATAAAAAAGAAATGTGAAAGACAAAAAGATAATTAACTAATAAGTATTTAAATAATTTTCTGAAAGGTTAATTTTTTTAGTACATTGAAAATTTTTGGGATGCAAAAAATATCACTCACAATTTTGAATAATATGACAGGAAGATATTTTCGTAATTATATTAAAAGGTATATTATAATAATTTTAATCATTCATAATAAAATGAGTATTTTGTAATTATAAAAAAGAGAGATATTATAATAATTTTGATTAATTATGATAAGGGAAGCATTTTTATAATTATAATGAAACGAGTAATATAATAATTTTGACAAAGAAATGGCATTATAATAATTTTTGTGATGTAATTAAATAAATATAAAAATACATCGTCATAAACAATATATCATTTATAATTATTGTATTAAAATTAGTTAATTATAATTTAATATTGCATGAGATTTATTAAAAAATTAAGTAAAACCTACATTTTAAAATAATAGATTTTTACATAATTTTTTTATTGTGATTAACTAATTGTAATATTTTAGAAAGAGCATTGAAGGTAACATAGATCCATTTTCATAATATTGACAAGAGACGACAGGAGATGCCATGGGTCGGTCAATTATGAAACAATCCTTAGAAATTAATATAATTTTACTGGGGTTTATTTTAATTACAGTTACAGAGGTATGTTGGATAAATATTGTTTGTGGTTGCGGAGTGGAAACGAAAGAATGGAATAAAAATAGGTGAAACCTTATCCGTATGTTTCGTTTAGTCAATGCATACCGCAATGCATGTTTGAAAAGGTAGATAAATCAGGCGAATCACAATGACCCACAAATATCAAAATTCAAAAAGATTGAAAAGCAGCAAATACCCTTCTTTTCCTAAACCAGGAATTTTCATCAGTTACAGTTCCTTGGAAGAAAGAAACTGCCCCGTCTCTAACACTGCTTTGCTGGGCCTTTTTTTTTTTTTTTTTTCTCCATATGACATAACCAAAAGTGGACTTTTACAAAGTTCCTGTTTGTTCTATCTGGTGTAAGTGAATCATAAATGCAGATTCCAGATTCTTGTGAACGTGAAAAGAATCTCTTCAACAAGTAGAGTTGGATCTCTATGACTTTTAGCTTTCTTCTTCTTTTTCAATTGATTGTTATCCCTGCGTCCCACAGAGATGCTTTTCTGCACTTTCGATTGTTCTAAACACAGCTTTTTGGTATGTATATTGAATCATCTCAAATTTTATGCTTTTCATTCTTCCCATGAAGGTTCAAGCATCGATTATGAGTGAACTTCATCTTCGGTGCTTCTGGTTTGAATTTTTTAACAGTCATTGCTTTGTAAAAACCTCCCTATTCATAACAAATAGCTTTTTCTGGTTGTTTTTGGATATCAAGATTTCGATTGCTGGCTTTGACTTGCTACGCTGCACTCATACTCGAGAATAATTGATTTAAGTTTGGTGTAATAGTTCATACTCGACGATAATTGATTCGACTGTTAGAGTGATGAGGTATTTGATTTTGACTTCTAGCCTAAGAGATTGTAGAGTTGGATTCACACTATGGTTGTAGAATTGCTTATATTTAAAATTTTTCGAGTAAATAAGAATGATTTGTAGAAAGTGTGAACACTAAATCGTTCACACTTCACACCCTGGAAATTCTTAACAAATAGTAGTGAAATTGAGTTGTCCTCCTACGCAAATATAACTACAATAGGTTCCTTAATACCACACGAAAATATTATAAATGTTTGACTTATATGTGTGTATTATAATTTTGTAAACAGGTTTAGTTCATGCCGTTATCATTGGATATTAAGCAGCTTTAAGTCCTAGAAGCTGTACGAGGCATTTCACAGAGAGCAATTATGGTTTTCCCTGATGAGGCTTCTCAAAGGCTTGAGGTTTATCATTCAACTTTTTCATTCCCCTTAACTAAGAAAATTTGTAAGATTAAAAACTCCATTGAATCTGATATGTGTTTTCTGTCATATAGGGGAAGTATGCTGCGTTGGTTGTATGTTGGCTTCTTGGAAATGGCTGTCTCTTTTCATGGAATAGTATGCTGACAATAGAAGATTACTATGGTTATTTGTTTCCGGTAATTCTGATACCCTAATTTTACATTTTTGTTCTGGCTTTTCAAATTATTTCTCATGGTTGTGGTATTTTTTATGGCCTGCCGTGATTATATAAATGCACACTTGGAAGAAATTTCCCCAGGTTTTGTTTTAACCAATCTGTGATAAACAAACTTGAAAAGTTTAGAACTTGAACAGAGTTTTATTGCCACTCTGCAGTCTGTAGCCAAGCAGTCAGTTTTACACTTCTAAATTCTGGCCATGAATAAATTATTGACATTTAAACAAGCTTTTATATCATGTCATTTGAAAACTTCGTCAATGACCAATGTCTTCTGACTTCCATTTAATTCATAAATCAGCGGTTAGATTATTTAGGAGACCTTAATAACAGAAAGCCTGGGAACTGTATTGTACCGTCATCAAGCACTTTGTCAATCTGCATGCAAAATTCATAAACAAGGGATTTTCTCTCATTTCAAAGTTTTTCAATTGATTGCGACCTGTCTGATTATATCCTGATTATTGGCTGCTGATCTATAATTATTTTTTTTTCCCAAATGTAATCTTCACATGTCATAATGCATTATATTTCTTCCATCTAGCCGTCAAATTCTAAATTTTGCAACTCATGTTACTTTATCTTGCAAACACTTCCAGTCTCCAGAGTTTTCTTTGCTTTATTTTAGCCAAAAGTATGTGTGGTGAAGTGGTGATAATTATAATTATTCTTGTCATTTAACCTAATTTCTTTTCCCTTTTGCAGCATTATCACCCCTCAAGGATCCTTACTCTTGTTTATCAGCCATTTGCACTTGGAACACTTGCAATACTGGCTTACAACGAGGCAAAAATTAACACTAGAAGAAGGAATCTATTTGGATATACCCTGTTTTTCTTAAGTTCCCTTGCGGTTTTAGTTGTAAGTTTCTTTCGTAGACTTAATTCTTCTGATCCTTCAATGCTCCTAAACTTAATTTTGCATAACAAAAGGTGAATTACACAAGTATCATGGTACATGATAGGTTTATATTGAGAATGGCAGCTGAAGCACACTCTCATGCTACTAAAGTTTCAAATGTTCTTGTTTCTTTTGAGAGGATTGTAATTTCTCTCCTCTACATTTTATATATAGTTGGATTTAGCTACTTCTGGAAAAGGAGGAATTGGAACTTTCATAGGAATTTGCGTCATTAGTGGTGCGTTTGGGGTTGCAGATGCTCATGTGCAAGGTGGAATGATTGGAGATCTCTCCTACATGAAGCCTGAATTTATTCAAGTCAGTATGAGTGATTGACATTTTTACATGCTAATGAACTCTCTTTTCTCCACATTATCTGATATGACTAACCTTTACGATTTCTTTTCCTTGGATGTTTGGATTCCTTAGTCGTTTGTTGCTGGTTTGGCTGCATCAGGGGCTATTACCTCTGCTTTGAGGTTAATCACAAAAGCGGCATTTGAGAATTCGAAGGACGGTCTTCGCAAAGGGGCCAGTATGTTCTCAATTGCCTTATGTTTTATGACATGTCACAAAAGGGGACAGAAAAAAATCCCTCTTTGGTGTTGAAGTGCCATTCGTACTTTCGTTAATTATACGCTAAAGATCTGCTAGTTGAAATAATCTTGACAATCAATCGATTTGCAAGTCAGTAGTTTCCTTTACTTGTGCTGCCATATATGTAGTTGCATAATTTTACTGATCTCTTTTAACCCTTGATGTTGGAACAAAATGAGTAATTTATGTAATAGAATACTTCCTACTATTTCCTATGGAGTTTTAAGAGAGAACTTCATGAATTATAGGTGTTTTTATTGGTATTTATTTGGTTGGTCCAAATGATGCAGTTTCTCAAACTTGTTTTCAGCCAGAAAAGCTTTATGCTGTTTCAATCTCTTGCATTTCTTGTTAAAGAAATTGACTGAAAAAATGCACTGTTACCTTTATCCCTTCTCTTTCCTTTTTTTTTTTTTGGTTTATTTTTCTTGGGGGATTTGTCTCAATTTGGCTTACTAGAGACTAATTATCTTTTCTGCACCCCACCCCCATCCCTGTGCAGTTCTATTCTTTGCCATCTCTGCAGCTTTTGAGCTTCTCTGTGTTCTTCTCTATGCATATGTATTTCCAAAACTACCCATTGTGAAGTACTATCGCTCAAAGGCAGCCTCCGAAGGATCTAAAACTGTTGCAGCTGATCTGGCTGCTGGTGGCATCCAAACATTGCCCCAAAATGTTTGTCCTTCTGCCTAGTGTCATACATAAAATGCTACTAGTAATACGCAATTCATTATTTTATAAGAATCAATGTCCACCTGCAGGCTGAGATAGATCCGAAACACCAGGTACGGCTGAGCAACAAAAAGTTACTACTTCAGAACATTGATTATGCGGTCGACATGTTCCTGATATATGTGCTGACATTGTCCATTTTCCCGGGATTCTTGTCAGAAGATACTGGAAAACATAGTTTAGGTACCTGGTAAGCTTTTGGTTGCGACTGTGCTATTCCTTCTAACCATGCATATGTATTGACACCAGATTTTTCACGTTCCAGGTATGCGCTTGTTTTGATAGCAATGTATAATGTCTGGGATCTTATTGGGAGATACATTCCTCTAGTAAAATCCTTGAAGCTGGAATCACGGAAAGGTCTCATGGTAGCAATACTTTCTCGTTTTTTGCTCATCCCAGCATTTTATTTCACAGCTAAATATGGTGATCAAGGCTGGATGATCATGCTAACAAGCCTTTTGGGCCTAACTAATGGATACCTCACTGTCTGCATCCTAACTTCTGCACCCAAGGGCTATAAGGTTTGGTGCTACGTTATTCATTTATACTTGAAACACAGCAATTTCTGAAACCCGTAGACAGTTCTTTACTTAAAAACTGAATGAATTATTGTTTTTTCAGGGACCTGAGCAGAATGCATTAGGAAATTTGCTTGTTTTGTTTCTCCTGGGAGGTATCTTCGCAGGCGTCACGCTTGACTGGTTATGGCTCATAGGCAAGGGATGGTAAACTTTGGTTCTCAGCTGGTTTTAGGAATGAGAGACATGTTTCTCATTTATAGAATGGTGATTTTTAGAATGGACAAAAATAATGATTTATCTGTTTCAAACTTGGTGACATGGTGAAATTTTTCAATAGTTCAGAACTCTATGCAGCAATGCTTAAATTTCTTGTTCTGATAGTGCCAAATTCAGATTGCTTCGTAAATTCCCTTGTATTTATCAACTTCATGCTTAAGATTAGTGAATGTTTCACTGTCTTTTATTAGTCTATATAAATATCAAAACTTATGCCAAGTGGGCTCATGAAGCCCGTATTTGTTGTTGGTATTTTAGGTGGGAGTGTACTGGACTTTTGGGTCCCAGTTGTGGAGTACTTGGTTTGGGGGGCACTTGGGGCAAGGAATCCTTTGTCATGCCTTTAAATTGAAAAGAAACTATGAAAAAAATCCCTCCTTGGTGTCCGTGGCTCGGTGAAAGGGAGTAGCATCCTTTGGAAAGTGATGCTGCATGGCAAAGCGACAACATTAGACCGAAATCACCCTCTTGAACATGTTACCTCGCATATATTTTAAGATTCAATTTACAAAAAACAATCCAACTCTTTTCGTCTGTATTCACATTGTAGAGTTTGTTAGTTTTGAATATTGATTAATATTTACTAAGCGACCGACATACTCAGTCCTAGGGATTCCCTTCTAGCAATGTTGTCTTGAAATCGATTCCTTCAATTACTAAGTGTTTGGTTAAACAAATCTCGATTTGAAACAACCTGGTTTTAACAGTCCCGATAGGCGTCTGCCCTTTGAAATTATTATCGGTTTCCCTCACATCAGGCTGGCGCAAAAGGCCCTATCTGTTTTTGGTAAGTGCGAACTCCAATTAATCTTGACATTAACTTACTAACACTGTATGATTTTGCCGTACCAATTTGTATATACTATTATTAGCATAAATAAAGTGGTGAAAACAAAATTAAGGGTGTAAATGAATATAATATAAATGATTTTTTTATATTCATGATTTATTTATTTATTTAATAAATTTTAAAATATTGTTTGGTTTATTATTTATTAAATTTAATAAATAAACATAAATAAATAAAAACTAAAATTGTTTGTAAACTTTTCGTTGAATACTATTCATTTACATCTTCAAATTAAATACGAATGAATTTTACTATTTAGTGATTTATGTGTTTAATTAATGAATTTAAAATATTATATATAATTATTTGTTAAGTTTAATAAATAATCAAATATAGAATCTGTTCACCAATTACCCATTTTAAAACCCAAGCAAAATGAAAGAATAATTGTGTATAAAGATAATAATAATTCAAATAAGATCTAATTTAATTTTTTCAAAAATTATATAATATAATAAAATTTTAAAATTTGATCCAAATTCATATCAATCTTTCCTTAAAATGGATTAGATTCAAACTGAATTTTCTTGTTAATCAGTTTCCTCTTTCTTTTATATATTATTTTAATATAAAATTTAATATATTTAAATATAAAATAATTATTTTATTTTATAAATTTTAAATATATATAAAAACTAAAAATATATCATTTCATTATTTTTTAATTTTTATTTTTTATTTTAAACACAATTTAAACTTAATATATATATACTTATTTAATATTTAAATTTAATCTAAATTGAATTTTAAAAAATCCATTCAAATTAAATGGAATATCGACATTTCAAATCCATTTTTTCGCACCTTTACTTGTGAAATGGTACTAACAACTGGCAAAGGTAAATGAGTAACTATATTATATAGAGCTGCTCCTCGTCCTCGTCCTCGTCCGCTGCTTCGTGTCAAACAACTACGAAAACCAACAGAAATTTACAGTGGGAAAAAGACAAAAACAACCCCTCATTAGCCCGTTTCCAATTGTCTGCTACCTCTAAATAGCTTCACGTGAATCCCAGACAATCTCGAGAACTACAAAAAAATTAGTAAGAGGCAATTGGGACAAGCACAGTGCCACTCACCACTCCTAAGCTACCCAAACAGTGAAACCAAAACGATAAGGGGCAAAACCGGGAACGTAAAAGATGCCCGCGAAAGTGGTGGCGGTGCAGGCGACTGGGCATTCTCGAACTGCAGAGAATCAACAGCTAAGGGCATGTTCTCTTGATCTGGGCTGCACTTGGACTCGTGAGGGTGGGCACTGTACATTATGGCCCGTAGTACAGCTGAAACGGTGGGTATGTACGCCGTTTTGTTGCGTGCAAGGAGCCATGTAAGCCCCATGAGCTGACAGTCTCGGTTGAACATCTTGCTAGCTCTCTCGCTGGTGCTCCTGTCTTCTGTTCCGTTCTTGTTATATCCACCTTTGAGCTGTAATTACCAATCACAAACAAGGGTGCTTTAGAGATTTGGCTGAAAAGCAATTAGGTAGCAGCAAGAGTTGGTGCAGGAACAGGGAAAGGTAATGAGGAAAGATATGTTGGCGAAGGGTCTAATTGTTTGAAATGCATCAGGCATGACAATGTCATTTTCTTGGGTCTACCATAATGACTTTGGTTCCTTTGATAAAATGGCAAAAAGAAGACCCTCCTCAGCCTAGAAAAAAGGTCCACTTTAAAAATCAACAACACCAATTCACATTCCAGTATTTGATTTCAATCAAAATTAACAAACCACAACCAAAACCAATCCTCATGTGGATTGTACAAAGTCATTGGAAAGTAGAAAATTGTTGTAATGCAATCCCTTTTGGGGACCAATTATCAATTACTTATTAAATGCATTTGTTCATTTATTAACAACAGAAATCTGAAAGTGGTAAGTGTAAGAGCAATTATATGTTCTCATGAACCAAAACCAGTTTTAAGACAACATTCCTAGAAAAATTATCAAAAGACTCAGAGCTAGAATTAATGGGTGTAAACCAAAAAAGGAAACCACTTTCATTAATTACTTGCCTTTTGAAGAGCACCGAGACACTTGGTACACCCAGCATAAGAAGAGTTCCCGCAATTCCTCTCCAAATTCTTCACGGCAGCAGTCGGTGTCGCGTTTCGAAAACCGGAAACATTAAACGCAGCGGGGCAGCTCAAGGAACTAATCTGATGCAGCCTTATCCCACAAAAACATAGAATCGCATCGCAACTCGCGTTTGGTTGAGGAATCCTCACGCGCTTGCTTAACAAAGCGTTTTGCAACGAATTCACACACTTCTGCGAATCATCCGGCCTCATGGGCTGCTCTGGCTGCTCCGGCTGCTCCGATTCGGCTGGAGCTGGAGCCGAGACCTCCAAAGCATACCTGGCGTGAGCTGCAAAGAGCCAAGCTGCCAACACGGGACAGCATCGGCTTCTGTCCAGGTTGTGGCCACAGGCGTCGCTGACGCCGCCGAATAGCTCGGCTGACAGGTCTAGCCGGCAAACTTGAGCTTGGGTTTGAACTGGAAATGCGGGGACCGTATTTGGGGATGAGTAGTCACCGGGTTTTAACGGCAGATCGTGAACGGAAATTGGTTGAGACAGAAAACTGGCTAGAGAGTGATGGAAGATAGTGAAAGAAAATAAAACTAGTGTTAACGTGGAAATGACGGAAAAGCAAACCATGATTTTTTTTTATCCGGGTTTTTACGTTGATGATGAGGTTTTTAAAGGTGTTTTTTTTGCAAGGAAAGAGACGGAAAAAAGATTGCTTGGGAGTTCGATGTAAAAAGCCAAAGAGACGACTTTGAAACTGCTGTTATAGTGACAATGATTCCTTTTTTATATATTAGAGAAGAAAAAGGGTAAGAGATTCAAGAGATACTCAAAAGGTAGTGGTGCGTTGTGCCTTGTTGAGAGCTAACATTTGAAAATTTATAAACTGTATGCAGCAGGCCATGGACAAACTTTGAGCAGGCAGACCATGTAAAAAGAAAAGTGATAGAGAAGACTGAAAGTCATGAAGAAATGGAGATGAGGCGTCTCTTCACTCTCCTCTCTGTCTTTAGTGCTCAATCAGGGATTCAAGAGTTCCCTATCTTTCTCTCCAAACAAAATGAGAATATCCACATGCAAAGGGAGAGAGAGTATGGCTTGAGAGATTTCTCTTGGTCTATGCTCACGAACAAAGCAATCATTCAGTAATTTATATTACTGCTACACTATATGCTTGTATTTTTTATATAATAATTTTAAATTTATTAGATTTTTTTAAATAATTATATAAATCAATTAAAATAATATTTTATTTTAAAATTTCTTATTTAAATATTCGTAGTTGTCATTCCAATTCTAATAAAATTTTCAATGGAAAGGGGAAAAAGAGATGGGTCCTTTGAGAACACAAGCGTTTCGCTTGGTTATAGGATTATAATAGAAAAGAGGGTGAGGATTGGGGTTGGAAAGAAAGGCGTCTGTCTGAGGATTTGGCAGCTTGTGGTGTCGTTTTCCTTTCATTCTTTATCTTCTGCTAACCGATGGCATGGTGTGATATGAAAGTGGCCCCTCCCTTTCACCTCCAATTTTTTAAAATATTATTATTCTTTTTCATTTTTAAATAAACTCTGATTTTTTATGTACCTACACTATTTTTTTTTTTTTTGTTCACAAATAGATTTTTGTGTTAACCAAAAGATGTGATGTGCGTTCTATGTTCTTTGACAATAGATTTTTATGTTAACCAAGAGATGTCGTGTGTATTGTGTCATCGTTTACTGTCGCCAATCTCATTTACAGTTGACATTTTTTTGCTCACGTGCCTATTAATGTGATTTTTTTTTAATATGATTAATTGAGTTAATTAATTTTTATCACGATAAAAATATAAATAAATTTTATGTGAAATTATTTAAATAAAATTTGTGAAATAAAAATAATTTAATAAAAAAATAAATCAATAGATAAAGTTTAATGTAAAAATTAATAATATGTAAAAAATTATTAAAAATGATGTATATAATCTAAATTTAATTTATATTTATTTAAAGATAAAAATTTTATCAATATTTTTTAATTAAAAATTTTATTTAAAAAATATTTCAAAATTTATCAATTTCTTTTTAAATTTTACATACTTAATATATTAATGGGATCTTTTAATTTAACAATTTTAATTTTTAATTTTAATTTTAATTTAATCATTTTAATAAAAAATTTTCATAAATTTCATTTAAAAATTTTCACTGAAGTTTTTCCATAAGAATATTATCTCATCCGTTACAGAGTATAAAAAGTGTTAGCAGGCCATGAGCCTAACTATTGTTAAAATCATGTGTGTTAAAATTTATTAAAGTAAAAATCATAAAATAATAATTTATTTAAAAAATAAAAAGAGCTATATCAATAGGGTTTTTATTTTTAAGTTAATATCATAAATAGTTCATAAATTATAATAAAATATGTAATGTTTTACCTTAAATTTAAAAATCTATAATGTTAAACTTAAATCATAAATTTATTAACTAATATGATATTTTTAGAGTTGTTTATCCATACATATCATCATTTAAAGTTAGTTATATTTGAAATAAGTATTACATTAGTTAATATATTTATAATTTAAGAATCATATTAGAAATATATTTATAATTTAATAATCACATCAGAGATTTTTAAATTTCAAATATAATATTAAATATTTCACTATAATTTAAAAAGTCATTTATGATATTAATCTTTTTTTTTTAAGTTGCAATTATAAATAAATATTACATCTATATTATCAATTAAATAATTAATTATTATATCATGATCAAATTATAATTACTAAATAATCAATTAATAAATTAAAATATAATTAAATAATTAAATTTATCTTATATAAATATATGAAAGTCAAAGCCTTTAACAAAAAATAAATAATATGATGTGGTACATTTTTTATAAGTGGACAATCTAAAAAATTGACATGTGTTTAAAATTAATTATATATTTAAAATTTAAAATTTAATGGTAAAATAAATTTAATTTAAAATATCTTATTTTCATTATTATAAAACACATTCAATGATTCTTATTAACATTTATTTTTAAATGATTAATTGACTAAATAAATTAAAAATTAAATCAAGAGTAAAAGTATCTTAAATTGAGAGTAATTAATGATTGATAACTAAAATAGCAAAATATAATGTATATTCAATACGCTTGGGATAAATAAAAAAAAGATTTTGAAATTAATGTAATAATAATAATAATAAAATTAATTCTAATTGATATATTAAAATTAATTTTAATGATTTGATCATCTTTTGAACATTTTAAATTCAATATATTAAATATATGTATAGCTTAAAAGGACAAGGCAATATATCATATTTTTTAAAAAAATTGGAAAGTATATTTTTAATAAATATAATTCAAAAGTTAAATATTTATAATTGAAAAAAGAGACATAAAATTATTTTATTTATTAATAATGATAATCAAAGTTTTAATACCTTTCATATAAATTTAATGAGAGTGATTTAAGATAAATAATAAAAAAATAAATATAATCAATTTAATTTTTTTAAATTATTTATTAAATTAAAAAATATAAAATAAAATATATTTATTAAAGAAAACATAATATTTTTTTAAAACCGTCTACATGTCAATAATATAAATCTAACATTGGATGATTTTTGGCCAAAGACTTTGTCCTTTATATATTAAATAAAATAATAAAATAAATTTAAATTTAAATTATTATTAAAAATTGAAAAATTAATATTATATATTATCTTTCTAATATTACAATACTACATTAAGTAGAGGAGTTTCTACCATATGAGAAAAGAATTTAAATTACTTTCAATTAATTAATCCATAAAAAAAAACATATTTTAAAAACTTATTACCCGTCAATTATTTGATATTCAAACAAAAGCTTCTAATATTTGGAAACAATATAAGCATTTAAACAATTAATAAATTTATTATAAAAATAATTTATTAATTTAATTACTTTATTTAGATAAATTTCACCCACCATTAAAATAGTACCATCTAATATTGATTTGATTTTTATATTATACATTTTTTTTATATTTATAATTTAGCATCAAATATAATCTAAAAATAACCAACAACAGTATAAATTATTGGTATAATGTTGAACTCTGTAAATTATTAGTATAATGCTGAACTCTTACTTTGAATGATTAAGGTTCTAAATCCAATAATCTTAAATATTAAAAAAATATAATTTAAAAATATCTATTAAAATGCATGTACATAAAGAAGTAGGAAAAAAGTAGTCATTAAACAAGTATGAGTTTTCTAATACAATTTTTTAATTGATTATTTAATGGTTATTTAACATATATAAATATGTTAATTCAAATCAAATTATTAGGTTTTTAATATATAAAAATAAAAATTTTAAATTAATTTGAACATATATTTCTTTGATTATAAATTTTTTAATATCTTTTATTTAATAAATTCATAAAAAGTAAAATAACTTATTTTAGAATAAATAATTACCCAATTAAAAACATTAATGTTACACATAAAAAAGTAAATTTAATAAAGTTAATTTGTATTTTATTTACTATATAAATTATAAGAATAAAATGTACTTAGCGTGCACAAATTAATAAAATCAATATCATAATTGATTTAATTTGAAAGATATAAAAAGATAAATTTTAAATTCATAAATACATATAAATATTTCAAACTCACTATTATATAGACATCTAACGAATCTTTAAAATTGAAAAATAATTATAAAATTATGTTTATATTTACATGTAATTTATCATACATTTTAGACTAATTTTAAAATCCAAATATATTTTTTTAAAATTTAAGTTTTTAAACACAATCTATAAGTTGTAAGAAAAAATAAAAATAAAATATGCTCTCAAAATTTATGAACAATTATATGTAAAGAATTTTTTATATTTTAATTTCGAATTAAAATAATTACAATATATAAATTTAAAATTTAAAAGAAAGATTATATTTTTGAAAACTTAATTAATTAAAATAAATTTACAAAAATTAAAAGCCCTTGCACGGACCAAAAACTAATAAAATTCGAACTTAAAACTTCAAAATTAAACAAAAAAGCTCCACTAATCAATTCCCCTAACTCGTTTTAGGCAGCATTTATATGCGTGATTTAAGCCACTACTTTCTACTTAGGCTTAACTGACTCCTACGATAGAAGGTGACCGCCAACCAAACCATACTTTTCTTTCTTTGTTTTATAATCCCTCTTTTGACTCTTTTCCCATAGATGGCTTTTCTTTTATACAGAGACGAGACTAAAATAATAATAAAAGATTTTCTAAACTTTATTATTTTATTTAAATAAATATTTATATCTTTATTACATCTAAATAAATTTTTAATTTTTAATTTATATTTAAATAAATTTTTTTTTACTTTTAATTTATGTTAAAAAAGTTATTAATTTTTAATTTATACTTATATAAGCTCTTAATATAAATAAAAATTTATTTAAAATTAAAATTTATTTGAATATAAATAAAAAAATAAGGATCTATCTTGATACAATAAAATTTTTAAGTTTATTTAAACTATATATAATTTAATAGCTCTTTTATTATTTTAATCTAGAGATAACATAAAGTAATGCAAAAGTCTCTCGTAACAATATTTTGAATTTTAAACAAATTTCATATCTACCATCATAATTTTTTAATCAGCGACAAATTTTTGCGTATTACTCAATATATATTTTTGAATTAGTTCAAATAAAATTATTTACATCAATTTTAGTGAATTTATGAAAATTTATTTTTTGTATTTAAAAAAAAATTCAAACTTAAATAATGATGAAAAAATATACACTTTTTTTACTACTTGAAGCAACCTTAGCTTGGTAGCTATCCACTTTTTGTATTTCGAGAAATGTTAATATCATTAATAATTTTTAAATTATAATAAAATATTTAAATTTTAAAATTTTTTACTATAATATTTAAATTATTAATTTATTAATTAATATGATACTTGAAATTTATTAATCACATATCATCATTTGAAATAATTATATTAAAAATAAATATCAAATTTATTAATAAATTTATAATTCAAGTAATATATTAAAAGTTTTTTAAATTAAAATAATATATTAAATATTTTATTATTATTATTATTTATGAATAT